GTGTGTGTGTGTGTGTGTGTGTGTGTGTGTTGTTAAAGCACCCCAAATTCTCTCTCTCATTTCCTCCACAAATCACAACAAACCATCCATAACAAAAAACTTGAAAAAAGGATAGATAGACAATATAGTACTAGAAAATGCAAGGTTGGCCACGTTTGTGTGGTTCAGCACCAAGTGCCCACACACCCGTCTGCCGCCGAAGCGGCACACTTGCACATATACGTAAATACATATATTTATTTGATCCATAAAAGGGTGGAGGGCAAGAAGCAACTCACCTAAGACAGAAGACTCCACCAGCAAGAAAGCACCGACCCCATCTGCCATAAGTCCAAGAAAACTTGGAGAGCCCTCCACGTCGGCCCACAAAACCACAAGACAGCATAACACAAAAGGCTCCACTAACAAAAAAGCACCGACCACACATGCCAATGGTCTAAAACGCCACCACAAATAAAAAACACGCCGCAGGATCTGTACGCAACACCATAAGTGCCATGAACCGCCCCCTGCCGTGCAAGCTGTAGGATCGGATGTGTGTGTGTGTGTGCGCGCGCGTGCGTTAGGCAGCACGGGGGGCACGAAGAGAGCGTAAACTTAAAAGACAAGTCCAACCCCCCTCCCTCTCAAACTTCCGGCTGTACACATGGAGGCCACCTGCCTGCCTGCAGCCGGGTCTTTTTTTTTTTGGGCGGGGGGGACAAATGCTCCAGTCTATTCGTGGGGAGCAGCACGTGCTGCGAACCGGGCCCAATGTGACAATTTAGTAATTTACACACCCCAACAACATAGTGAAACGGTTTTCACCTTTTAGCAGTAGCAGATGCAGTACCCAGGGTTCGATCCCTAGACCTCGTCCTACCCATGTACAGTATCTGTGTAGTCCCCGAGAGTTGAACCTGTGACCTGTGTATTCGTAGACAGTTGGTAGGTCTGTCATAGGTCCATAGGCAGCAGGGGTTCGATCTGTAGATCTATAGAGTAGAAGTCTTAGCGAGTTCCAGAAGTCTAGATGTAGTCCTTCTAGAAGGTCGGCAAGTGGGCAAGTGGTCAAGTGGCGAGTCAAGTGGTGGACTATACTGCAGTGCAATCGCAGTACGACTACGGTAGGTTGGCAGTGAGTCCACAGTCAGTCAGAGGTAAGGTCCAGTCAGTGCCAGTCCGGTCCAGCAAGTACCACGGGGGACTGTGAGCACCATGGGCCGTTGGCAAAGGGCAGACCAACGAGTTTCCGAAGTATAAATCAAGAGGCAGCACCCAGCCTTTCATTCATTCCTGCAGGAGCCTTGCGGAAGCGCTGCCACAGCGACTTGTGCAAGGAGGTCTGCAGTATGCCCGAAGAACGAAGTGGGCGAGAGAGAAGGAGCGTAGCATAGCGATAGGGTAGAGGCAGCCATAGCTGCCATAGCTGTAGTTTAGTGAGAAGTGTGTGTGTGTGTGTGTGTGAGAGTTCAGAGTGACGCGTGTGGGATATCCAGGGTGATCCGGTGTGTGTGAACAGTGAGTTGTTTGGGCGCTGAGTCGCCATAGCCAATTGAAAGTGAACTCGTATCTGGAAGCCATACCTCTGAGTTTTGAGTGGGCGCAGGTCGCCAGTTTGCTGTGCTGCTGTTTACATGCATGAAAAGTGTGAACGAGAACGAGTCGGATTGCAATAGGCTCAGTTGTTGTTGTTGTTGTTGTTGTTGTTGTTGTTGTTGTTGTTGTTGTTGTTGTTTTTTACTGGTGGTTTAACTTGAGAGGCGTAACAAAAAGGATGACGAAAGTAAAAGGTAATGGTGTAATTAAAAAAAAAAAAAGAGAACCGTAACCGTCATTAGGTTTTGTTTGCTCTTATAATATAATAAAGGAACACACGGAGAGCGGCTGGATATGTTCCGAGATCAGGACTAGAAACATGGCAACCAAGCAAAGGTGAATTTCCCATAAAAATTGTGTGCGTCTGTGGATCTTATACTATCGCCCAATATCAACACCAGATCCCCCCAGAAACCCCAAGAGAGCGATAAAAAGATGGTGAGCGAAAGGCCGACCGCATTGACGTCGTTGACCTAAGACCCTAACCCCAGAAGGGACAAGGAATAAAAGGATGAAGTGTTAGAAAGCGATGCTGGTCGTGTTGATATGGTTGAATATGGGGTGCCCACACCCCCTTGTGTGGGCCTAAAAGACACACTTGTACATCGTAATAAAAGGACGGCAAGTACAAGGCCGACCACGTTCGTCTGGTTGGGCGTTGGGTGCCCACACNCTCTCTCTCTCTCTCTCTCTCTCTCTCTCTCTCTCTTCCCCCAATGAACAAGCAATGAGTACTCTCATTCGAACAGTGATGCGTAGGTCTGTTACACATGCCGTTTGCTGAACTTTCTGCCGCTTTTTCCGACCTCGCAGATGCTCCTGCGCCCGCTCTCCGGCAATCATCGTCAGATGTCACGTCACCACTACTCGTACCATCCTTGGTGATTTATTGATTGTGATTGCGAGATTAATTATGGTAATATGCGCCACGATTTGCGCGCGTCTCTCTTGAACCTCACGCTGCCACATTTCAAGCCACCACGTGTCGTCAATCAATAAATAGTAAAATACCCTCCCCTCGCTCCCCCTCACTCCCCCTCCCTCCCCCGCCCACCGCCCACCGCCCAACAAAGGTACAGACAATGATGTCCCCTTCCTAGTATCCGTCCCCCTCGTGCGTTCTCTTTGAGTTATACGTTATTGTTATTGTTTTTTTTTTTTTTTTTTTTTTTTTTTTTTTTTTTTGGGACAAATGGTCCAATCTATTCGTGGGGAGCAGCACGTGCTGGGAACCGCTGGGCGTTGTTGTTATTGTTGTTATTTTTGTTATTTTTGTTATTGTTGTTATTGTTGTTATTGTTGTTATTTATGAGTTATCATTTCGATTATACGAGAATTTCTGAGTTACAGTAACAAGTACAATTAATCCAAATATTTGTTTATTATCATTATTAATGTTCGGGCCTTGGAAAAAGGTCCAAAATGCAAATCAAACTTACACGGTTACACCATCGTCGAAACTTCTTCTTTTTTTTCTTTTTTTTTTTTACTTCTTTTTTTTTTTTTACTTCTCTTTTTCTTTTTCGCCATAACCGTGCGGCCGGCCACCAGGACAGAAACTGAGAGGAAAATGCTATGGCTATGTCTGATCTGTCCCCTCTTCTTTTCTTCCTTCTTCAGATCGCTGTTTCCTCTCTCTCTCTCTCTCTCTCTCTCTCTGGCGTATGTTGCACTGGAGTTCGCAGTCATGGACACTAATTTCCAAGGGTCGTTTCTCTCTATCACGCCCTAAGTTCTAGTCGGGCGCTTTCCAGCCGTAGATCAGTGACACCTTGGCTGACGGACGGACGTGTCTCCAACCCCCTGCAATTTTTCCTCTTCCTTCTCCCAAAAGACAGCCTCGCCCCCTGATCTTCCCATCAACCTCCTCTAGCCGTCCAAAATCTCAACCCTTTACCAACTCTCCCAATATCCAACAGTACTACCCCTCCCTCTGTCCGTAACCTGTCTCTTATACACATCTAGATGTGTATAAGAGACAGGCTCTAAAGATTACCAGAACTAAGGGGTCCAGCTTTGGGTTAGCCGAATGTTTTGGAGGAGAAAAGTTCGAAGTTCAGCTATTGAGGTGTTCTGGGGAAGTGTAGTCTTGCAAGCGTGGGGACTGCACATGAACCAAAAAAAGGTTTGTGGTAGTTTGGGTATGAACTTAGTACATTCTTGGTGTGGTGGGAACATGCCACCTATCGGCAGGCAGGGACTTTGTGTGGGCACCATTGGCAGCGGCTTTTTTTTTTTTTTTTTTTTTTTTTTTTGGTCGGTGACTCATGGTGACTATTCCCCTGCATCCGTCTTCTCCGGCAGGCAGCGGCTTTTTTTTTTTTTTTTTTTTTTTTGCGAGTGCGTATTCCTCTGCTACCAGTTGACAGGAGGGCTTGAAGTTGTACGCACAAAATTCTACCGTCCGATCCAAAATGCAATGGGCCTGGGGCTGCTACCCATTCCTGGCAAATTCCGGCAATCATGGCCTCCATGCATTCGGCGGGAAAGTTAAGTCCTTTCAGTTAAGGATGGATAAGAAGACTGAAAAGAAGCGGCAGCACCCCTAGCATTCACTCGGGTTGTTTTCTCAAAAAAAAAAAAAAAAAAAAAAGCGGCACCTGGACTCGCTGCTTCCCTGGGTTGTTACCTGCTACTTAAACCCCCACTACAGAACAAAATGGCGGGGCCTCCGTTGAAATTAATCAACGGTGGCCCCTGTTGGGCCCGGTCCCGGAAGAATGCGGTATAGGTTATATTCCCACTTTTCCCAACATTGTGAAAGGTAGTGCCGGCTTAAGGGTCCAAGGGTCAAGGGTTCAAGGGTTCACAAGGGTTAAAGGATTATAGGGTTTAGGGTTAAGGGTTTAAGGGTTTAAGGGTTTAAGCCACTTTGCGGACTGACGCCCTTACACCCCCTTTGGGAGAAAGGTTAATGGTGTGTACGATTAAAGGTTAAGGGACCACCCCCACCCCCTTTGCTTACGGGCCCAACCATTACCCCCTTAGCTTAAAGGCTCAAATGTTCTTTGCCGCACCCCGCTTTTCCATAGTGTGTCGTGGTCAGTGGGAGGATGGTGAGGTCTTCAGATCTCCCACTACGGCACCTTAGCATTGTTTTCTTTTTCCTTTTCCTTTTCTGAAAACATATTTCCCCCACCCCCATTTCTTTTCCTTCATGAATTACATCCCCCCCGTCAGCTCCGAGTCAGCAACCGGTTCTCCGACCAGCAGCACCGCACAGTGGACTTCTGGGTGCAATCTTTTCATCATCCTTTCTTTCTCTCCTCTTTTTCTGGTG